GAGAGAGAGAGAGAGAGAGAGAGAGAGAGAGAGAGAGAGAGAGAGAGAGAGAGAGAGAGAGAGAGAGAGAGAGAGAGAGCTGACTCAGTGTGGTGGGACTGGGGAGGAAGAGAGTGAAATATGGAAAGAAATATCGATAGCCTGAAATACCTGGCGCAGGGCAGTTAGTCATAAGGCCGCTCCGAAGAGAAAAGACCGAGGGAGAATGTTGAGGAGGGAGGAGACGTACGTTTGGTGGTGGAGGAGAAGGACAAAGGCAAAGAAGGTGCGAGGAAGGAAGAGCGAGAGGAGGAAGTGTGTTAGGTGAAATGCGTTTTTTCTCTCTCCTGCTTTCCCTCTCTCTTTCTTGCCCCTGTGGAACCAACCATGTTGAGATCTTAAAAGAAATGGATCGATCCTTCTTGACAACAAATGGAGCGTTATAGTCCACCGGATGAAGAAAAGGAAACACTTCTTAGGTCGGGCGTTACGGAGGAAGGGCGGTCTGTAGAGGGAGGAAGGGGAAGGTAGGGAGTAGGATGGAGGGAGGAATGGAAGGAGGAGGTCAGGTGGTGATCGGGCTGAGGAAGGAAGGGGAGGAAGGAGATCGGGGGAAGGAGGAGGTCAGGCACAGATCGGGCGAACGAAGGGGGCGAACGAAGGGGAATGAGGCGGCCAGGCGGACGGAGGCCAGAGGGGGAGGGGTTGAAGAGAAGGTGGGGAGGAGGCCAGTAGGCAGAAGGGGAAAGGCGGCGGAGAGTAGGCAGGAAGCAAGAGGTCAGCAGGTGGAGATCGGGCCGAGGAAGGAAGGGGAGGAAGGAGATTGGGGGAAGGAGGAGGTCAGTGCGAATCGGGCGTAGGAAGGAGGAGGACGGAGGAGATAGAGGGAAGCAGGTCAGACGGAGATTGGGCGAAGGAAGCTGAGTGAGGTGCCAGGCGGATTGAATGCTGATTGTTTCATTCATAGTAAGAGCTGGTCCAGAGGAGGCCGGGAGAAGTAGGGCGGAGGGAGGACAGAAAGCAGAAGGTAGTTTAGGGGTTGAGTGACGTATGGAGGAAGGGAAGAGGTAAGGGGGAGACGAGCATGGGAACAAGCGTGAAGAGGAAGAGGAGGAGGTGGAAGGAGGCCGGGAGGAAGGGGAAAGACGGCAGGGTGAAGTCAGGCGGAGGGAGGGCAGATGGAAAGAGGAGGGAGGGCAGATGGAAAGAGGGAGGGAGGGCAGAGGTTGGGTGGGGTACGGAGCAAGGGAAAAGTTCAGTCGAGCGAGCGAGCGAGAGAGAGAGAGAGAGAGAGAGAGAGAGAGAGAGAGAGAGAGAGAGAGAGAGAGAGAGAGAGAGAGAGAGAGAGAGAGAGAGAGAGAGAGAGAGAGAAGGGGGGGGGCACGCGCTACTTCGTTTCTTCGTTGCCTTTTACTTTCCAGGAAATGTTGCAAGATGAACGCCCGGCATTATGGCTCCCATGTCAATGCTACTCCCGACAAGTCCCCCACGCGAAGAGCAACTGCCAAGCAGATTGAATGCTGATTGTTTCATTCATACAATGCAAAACCTGCTTAACATCAGTGGCAATCCTGTATTTGGAGGCGACTTCCAACAACTTCCCGGGGCCAATCATCAATGACATCATCGGAGACCCACCAAAATGAGACTAATGAGACTCACCTGCATGCGCATGCACTCGCACACATAGAGTCAAAACTCAACAAGTAAGCACGGGGCATACATGCAAGATCGTTTGATCACAAACATATTCAGAGAACACAGCAAACAAATTCTGAATCGGAAATCTTTAGCAAAAAACATCAACGGGACAACGGACAGGATTTTCTCAGAAACATTCAGAGTTCTTGCACAGCACAAAAAAAAAACGATGCTGCAAAGGTAACGCCTTCCCAAACAAAAGGCTCACAGATAAAGGAAAAAAAAGGTTCAGTGGTATTCCCTCCTATTTTCTTGCACGCGGGTTTTCGTCTGCTCTCACTCAGGCTCTTCTTTTTATGTTATTGTGAAAGAAGCGGCATATGATAGGGCAGTTCCTTATGCTTTTTCTTTCTTTTGTGCTTTTTCCTTTTCTGTTTTTGTGGGCGAAGCCGCAACGGGTCATCTAGTCATAGGGCTATTCCTCTTATCCGTCAGTGAAACAAAAAAACCTTTCCAAGTCTCCCAAAGAAAAGGATTTTTAGATTTTGTAAGTTTAAATATCATTTCTTTTCTTCTCTCGGTATATGCCCCTTGGCCTGACTCAGATCTGGATGTCCCCATCACTCTCACATCAGCGTTGGCCCTGATCAATTGAGGTGTGATGTCTGGGTTTGCAATACCCGTTCTTCTACTGAGTCTACAATTACAACTGAGGGGAAAGGATGGAATGAGACCCTGCCAACGGCCCAGAAGTCCATACGAAGCGAAGGGGTATGAGCTCCTGCAAGACGCATAAATGGACTGTTATGTCAGGGTAATGTATTTGTAATAGAGTCAGCAGAGCGGGCAGCCGACCTTCCCTCCCACTTTTTTTCTTCTTCTTGTTCTTGTTCAGTGGACTGGTTCCGTGGGCAGAAAAAGTGCTCAAGATTGCCCCCCGCGATCAAGACTTTTTCGACCTCAAGAACCCTGCAGTCTATTGTCTGGTCTCCCCCTGGTGCCGGAAAATGTATGTTGGACAGTCTGTCCGTGGTATGGGTGAGAGATGGTGGGAACATATCCGGTGCACGCAGTCTGGTAACAATGGACACGCACCTAAGCTGTATGTATGCCTTTCTGAAAGCTTTCGGGTGGCAGAAGTATTTATAGCCCTTCCTATAGCGTCGGGTACGAAGGAGGGGGGTTGTTAGCTTTGGAGAAAGCGTACATCAGCAGATAGGCTATCTCCCGCGCTGAATGTGGTTGGTAGGAGCGTAGATGCAAAGGCCAGGACGAGACCAGGGAGGAAAGAAAGGAAGAAGTCTAAGACGGGGACCCCCGTGTACAGAACAGGTCTTGTGACATTCGTGACAACAGATCCTAAGAAGTTCTTTAATTTGACTGGCCTATTAGAAGAGGCATGTGCTGCAGGGAAGAGAACCATCACCCTTGCCTCATCGGGTGGTGAGGTCTGGGGAGAGAAGTGGTCTAGAAGTGGTCTATAGTAAAGAGGCTGTTTGGCACGTCGACGCTGATAGGCAATCAAGGGAAAGGTCCTCTTGCTAGGTCCAAGCAAAAGGCTGGAGGAGGGAGGCCTCTTTAGGATGGCACCTATTGTCAAGACTGAGAACGCGAGAGAGAGAGGGAAAGGCTACCTCAGGACGCGCCTAGAGATGCCTAGAAAACAGGTGGAACTCGAGAACTTTGGCATTTCCAAGCTGGTGTACTTGTACAGATGCGCTAGGGAGTTCAGTACTAGGACTACGCGGAAGACGCTGAAGCCGATGTTAGCAACAGTGATCAGGAAAAGAAGGGGGGTGAACATCAGGCTGAAGCTGAATGTAGGGGTGAAGTATAACCACCGCCTGAGGAAGAAGAAGATTCATGAAGTGACAGTGCAGTACATGGACAGATGTACGATCCACCCAGTGTTGAAGGCAGTAATGCGACACCGGGTGAGAGTGGTATGGAAGAAGAATAGGACGGTTGAGCAGGTCCTCACTAATCGTCGAGCGGTGGCTAGAGCACCCAGCATGCCATGCACGTGTCACCAGGATGGGCTACCGAGGAACGAAGGGCATGTGCTAGCCAGGATAGCGCAGTGCATGGAGGTCAACCCCTTTCTTCACAATGGTAAGAACATCCCGCAGAGCATCTATGACCCGGAACTCCCAGAGGTCCAGCAAACCGTCGAGCAGTATCTTAAGGCTGTGATGAAAGAGGACCTTATCTCTACAGGTGAAAGGAGCTGGTTTGAAGAGTATATCTCTGAGGGGGGAATGGCACGACCAGGGTGTACTGGCATGCAGGCTTGTAGGCTGGCAGCGCAGCTCCGCCACTTGGTGGTGGTCCTGGTAGACCGCATTCTCCACACGGAATTCAGTCGTGCGCTACTATCCCAAAGTACCAGGTTCTCGAGCAGCCTCAACCAAGGCTCTCTGAGAACGCTGGTGCCCTTAGCAAAGCGTGCTAGGGCATTGAAGAAGAAGAAGAGGAAAAAGAAGAGGAAAAAGAAGTCAAAGAAGAAGTCAAAGAAGAAGAAGAAGAAGAAGAAGAAGAAGAAGAGGAAAAAGAAGTCGAAGAAGAAGAGGAAGAGAAGAAGAAGAAGAAGAAGAAGAAGAAGAGGGAAAAGAAGACGAAAGAGAAGTCAAAGAAGAAGAAGAATTGAATTGAAGTAGCGAGGCCAGCGCTATGCGTCCATGTCCGGATGATATGCAGTACAACTCCCACACGGACTAAAACCGCTCAACGCGCACATTCCCCGACGCATTTCGCCTGGCTGTGCACCAGGCTCCTCAAGGGGCAAACCTCTCTCCCGCATCCACCTGACTTCCCACCTGAGCAAGAGGGCCGTTTTGGCCTTGCCCTCTGTTAATATGTTTTCCACCTGTGAAGTGACACACCTCACCTCAACTGACTGGGACGCACCCGTGGCTTGTCGTGGCAGACCAGGTAAGCCCTTGTACACGCCCGCTGCTGCTCCCTCACGCGTGCACCTCACGTGCTATATTTCCTAGCTCCACGTGTACCGGTCGCATGTGTGGCTCTGGTACTCCCTAGTCGGGTGCGAGGCTGACCAAAGGGCCTATACGGCTTTACTCTCCGCCTGCCTGCCAGGTTGTTACCGCGCCAGGGCCGTGACCCCAATCTAGTCCCAGGTGCTAATCACCCCGGGCTTTCCAACTCTACACACCTCCTCCCGCCGTCCGTACTCTGCCCGTTGCATCCGATCTGCCTTTCCCATTTCCGTATTTCCTACACCCATACATTGCTACTTATTGTACACCCGGTTCATATGAAGCGGTGAAAACCCTACCTGTCCCACTCCCCAACGGTCTGGCGTCTACCCCAGTGTCTATCTCGTGTCTCCTCCCTCGCATTGTACGGGCCTTCCTGCTCCTCCGTACGATTCCAACCCACGTCGAGCCTAACTACCTCGTGCCTGACGTCGGACGTACTTCCCGACCCTGATCTGACTATTGTACACCCTGGCTTACCAGGTCCCTAAATCATCTACAACCGTGTAGTCTACCTCCCGGCTCCGATCTGACTATTGTCCACCCCGGCTTACCGGGTCCCTAAGCCTTCTCCTATCGCATAGTCTCGTTGCCATTACCCTACTACACCCCGCTCTCACCTTTTCGCCTTTCGGCATGCATCTCAGACCTACCATACAGGCGTGCAACCAATTGCCCAGTCAGAGTCTCCAACGCTGTACCGAACGAACCGGTGGCCCTGGCAAATCTAGCCAGAGCATTGAAGAAGAGCGTCGGGGGGTAGTCCCTGCGATTAAGCTCGATGCTGATAGACAATATTGCGGGAACTGCTGCTGCCGGGTCGCTTGAGTGATCTCTGACTCTGTAGAGTGCTGCCGTCACAGTCCCCATCTTCAATCTCTTGTCTGAATATGAACTAAAATCTTGAAAGCACCTGTAAGGAAGGAGTTTCTCAAGGTCCTGGTCTTCATTCTTATGCCTGGGGCGGATCAGGAAATTTACCGGACCTGGCATCGCAGAAACTCTAGTACCCAGGAAATCCCAGGAGTTTGAATCATCATCGGTTCATACTAGCTTAAGCTGCTCCCTATACGCGGCCGCAAACTTCCGGCGGACATCCACTGCCGCTGCTACACTCTCCAGATCATCCAGGTCACACGCGACCGCCAATGTGACATCGTCCACTAACCTGACCCCATGCACCAGCCGCTGGTCCGCACCTGGAGATGCGAGAGAGTCGACTTCGTACTTGGCACACAAAATACAGGCCAGCGCCGGGCTTGAGTTCTTCCCCATCAGGATCCCCACTCGTTGCTTGAGGATAGCCGACCTGCAGATGACATACCTATTGTCCAACTCAAAGTTGACCATCTTTCTAATCTGGGAGAACTTCACACATACATAACCTGGTCCTAGACTTCTGTGGTTAAGGACCACCACCCGGCCTCTCCTGCTGAGGCTCAGTTTATGAACCCCTCTCTTCTCCTACTGCTGCGGTAGCCAATCCACGGCCATGGAGATTTGTCGGTGGGGCAAAGATGTGAACATTTCCTTAATATCGTAGCTTGCCATCAAGGCCATGGATCTCTCTCCAAACAGCTTCAGTCTCTTCCCTGCTTTCTCCAGGTTCGGTTTCAGCAAGGCCGTAGCTTTCAAGTTGAAGTGCCTAGCATCTGGCACCTTCTCCAGCAGATGGTTCAGTGCCCTCGCTATCCTTCTTCCTGCAGTTCTTGTACCCTCTGCACACGCTGGTGCAATCGGTCTCCACCTAGCCATGTCTTTGTGCTTGGGCAGGATAAATTATATGCCACGGTAGTCTTTTGAATCCTAGGCTACAAAATTCCAAAAATCCGCCGCGTACGTTGCCTCAACTAATAATCACTAGTACAAAATTACAAGGAAATTTCCACGTACTACGGGGATAGCTGCTAACAAAAGAATTCCTTACCGTACAGTAACTGGGCCAAGTTAGGCCGCAAGTACGGTCCCATTTGGTGATTTGGTAGTCGTGTGTCCTTCCATTTACCACTACGGACTGCAGTTAATGTTCAACCTCAACGTGGCCTCCGAGCAGGTCTTAGAGAGATCTGAGGTGGACGTGCTGGCTGCAGTACGTACGGAGTTCAGAGAGCAGGATTTAGACAAAATTGGAGCCTGGAACTCAGCAGCAAAGGTATAGTTTTGCCCTCGGATTTACGTGGCACTGCCACGGTAGCCCCTATGCCAGTTAGGTGGCCTAGTCACGGTACTACCGGGCTGCCCGCTCATTTTCAAAAAAGAGCAGGGAAAGGACATACGGTGTGCCGATTTTGAAATTGTACAGGTCACGCACGGCACGCGTGTAACTGACTGGACTACGGTGCCACGTATTAGGAATTAAAGCAGTGATCCGCGATGCACGAAGTAGCCCAATGGGAAAATAGAAAGGAGAAAGGAGCTGAACGTTTTGATTTGGGACTAGGATCCACGCTGCACAATCTAGTCCAATGGAAATCAGTGAGGAATTGATCGTTGGAAGTGCTATCGGCAGGAAAGAGTCGCTAGTCCATGCATAGTACCTCGCCACGTCAACATGCGGTGAAAGCCAGCCTGTTGGTATAATAGTAGTGTCGACGTTCAAAAGGATTACGTGGACTGACCATCTGACACGCCCGTTGAGGGGCCGACACGTAACGGACTTTATAGGGTTTGATGCAACGTCTATATGACAGGCCTGGCGCAGCCGTAGTTGCTCGTGGAAGTGCCCGTTAGGGGAGTGAGTACCGTGCGGACAAAGCGTCCTACTTGGCCTACAGAATATAGGACGGCAAGGCCTGATCGGCCCTCAGTACTCAGAAGGTAGGGAGTATTGTCGGTGGGCCGCAAGGCGAGGGTTATGTGGAAAGCCCCCTGAGGATGATCGGAGCGCAACCGATCGAAACGCATCGGGGATTGTGCGCGTGAGATGAGATGAGTATGCGCGGCTTTGTATTGAAGAGTATTTGAAGCGTTGTACAAAAGTGAAACGGTATTCACCAGTTCGAAGTAGCTGATGCAGATCCCAAGGTTCGATCCCTAGTTCCCCAACTTACCTGTGTACAATACCTGTGCCAACTCGAAGAATTGAACCTGCGACCTGTAGAATCGCTAGTGGTAAGTAGGTCTGTCGTAGGTCTATAGGTAGCCAGGATTCGATCTGTAGACCTGTAGATTAGAAGTCTAGCTGCAGTCCTTCTAGAAGGTCGGCAAGTGGTCAAGTGGTGCAGGCAAGTGGCCAAGTGGTGTGACTAAAGCAAGCCCACGTTGTAGACGAGGACAAGTGGCGAGGTCAAACAGCAGGACCCCAGTGCAACTGCACTGCGTCGTAGGGTCGTCGCCATGCAGTCAAGGGAGAGTCTAGAAAGTACCAGTCCGGTCCAGCAAGTACCACGGTGGGGACTGTGTGCACCATGGGCCAGGGATACAGGGCAGACCAACGCAGCGCAGAAGTATAAATCAAGAGGCTGCGTCCAGCCATTCATTCGTTCAGGCGGAARCCATGCGGTAGCGCTGCCWYAGCGTCTAGTGCAAGGAGGTCGGCTGGAGGCCCGAAGACGAAGGGGGCAAGAGTGAAGCACTGTAGTCATAGCGATAGGTAGTGGCAGCCATAGCTGCCATAGCTCCGTGTAGAGTGCAGAGTGTGTGTACTGTGTGTGTGTTGGGTATGAACACTGAGTGTGCGTGTGGGACATCCAGGGTGATCCAGAGTGCSAACAGTGAGYTGTGTGGGCGCTCAGTCGCCATAGCCAGTTTGAAGAGAACTCTTACCTGGTTACGATATCTTTGAGTACTGTGTGGGCGCATGTCGCCAGTTTGCTGTTTCGCTGTTTGCATGCATGACAAGTGTGAAGAAGTCGAGTTCGATTGCAAAAGGCAGTTGGCCACTGTTTTCACTATTCTTCTTCTTCTCATCCTTTCCTTCTCCTCTGTACTGCAATGGCCGCTGTTTGTCACCACGTTTTCTGCCATTGCGTATTCCATTCACAGTTGCTGCGATCAGTGCTGTTGCTGTTACTATCGTGGTGGGTGTGATTGTGGCTGATCTTGCTCTTTTCGCAGATGTGGTTGAGGTTGGGCCTATTGCGACGTGGTTCATGGTTGTGGTTATCGGTGTGGTTGATGCTGTTGTTGCTCTTACTGTTCTGGTTGCTGTTGCTCTTGTTGCAGCCGTGGTTGTGGTTGTGGTTGTTGTGATTGCTGTCTGTGGTTGATATTGCTCTTTGCAGATGTGGTTGGGGTGGGGCCGTTGCGACGTGGTTTCATGGTTGTGGTTATCGGTGTGGTTGATCCTGTTGGTGCTGTTACCATTGTGGTTGGCGTTGCTGCTGTTGCAGCCGTGGTTGTGGTTGTTGATTGCCGTTTGTGGTTGTGGTTGTTGTGATCGCCATTTGTGGTTGATATGCTCTTTTCACAGGGATGGTTGACGTTGGGGCTGTTGCGACGCGGTCCACGGTTGTGGTTATGGGTGTGGTTGATGCTGTTACTGCTGTCACTCCTGCTGCTGTTGCCTTTGTTCTTATTTTCACTTCTGTTGTTTCTGCTGTCTTGGGTGCTGTTGTTGCTGTTGTTCTAGCCGATAACCGTTCCTTGAAGAACCAAAATGAAATGGATGCGATCGTCTCTGTCAGAAGAGAGGTGGCTCTCTTCTTCATCAGATTAGAATTGATGCATGTTCTCATGTCATGGGGCACTGTGTTTGTGATTGCTGTGGCAGGTCTGCACAGGAAAGTTCTAGGATATGTGAAGCATCCTAGATGGACACGCACAGGATGGATCGCTTCCAGCTCAATCTTCTTGTGAGTACTGAGTCTACTGATGTTCAGTTGTTGTCAGACTCATCAGGTCTTCATCTTTCGACTACTAGAACTGCAGCTCCTGCCGTTGCTGAGTGCTTTTAGGCAACAGAACCTAGACAGAGTCTGGGTTGATATTCAGTTGTTTTCAGACCCATCAGGTCGTCATCGTTCGACCACTAGAACTGCAGCTCCTGCCACTGCTGAGTGCTTTTAGGCAAGAAACAGAATCTGGGTTGATATTCAGTTGTTTTCAGACCCATCAGGCCGTCATCATTCGGCGACTAGAACTGTGGATCCTGCCGCTGCTGAGTGCTTTTAGACAAGACACAGAGTCTGGGTTTTGAAGTTGTGATTGCACATGACCATTGAGCTTTTCTACATTTTGCTGTAGGTAGGTGGGTGCAAGTAACCGTGCAACTTTTCTGTCGGTGCTTGACGTTTTACTGTGGCGATTTGACTGTGGCCAGGTGACGTTTTACTGTTGCCGCTTGACGTTTTACTGTGGCTACATTTTACTGTGACGATTGCAAGGGCAAGTGAGTGGGTTGTCCGTCATGCCATCCATAGATATGGAAATAGATGGTGCTGGTCAGCAGCATGTGCGCAAGACTGCGAGGTACGAACCCAGAGATGAGAGGTTCATCGTAAGGGAGCGACAGTTTCGGCAGCAGTACAGTAATGTCTACTATATGCGATTACAACTCCTCCGGCCTGTGCTGAAGGAGAGGGTCCAATCAACTTGGCCTGGCATGCGAATCTCCAACGTCCTCAACTTGGAAGAGGGTGTGGAGTGTGCAGTCATTGGGACCATCTACAAGCACATGCAACTGAAGCCGTCGATCCTTGATGAATACGCGAAAGAGCGATCGAATGTGCCGCTTGTCACTGCATCGAAATTTGTTAGGGATGATGACCACCTGATTCTTGAAGATGAGAGTGGGAGAGTGAAGCTTGTTGGCGATGGTGTTGATGTTGGAGGATACGTCACTGGTGTGGTTGTGGGGGTACTTGGCCGGGAGACTGGGAGCGGGGAGTTCCACGTGTCGGCGTTGGTCGAAGCAGGACTTGCTCCTCAGCAGCCCTTGAACAGGACTCCTGCAGAAGAGGGAGGCGGACCGGTTTCGCCAAAGTACGTCGCGCTTGTCTCGGGACTAAATGCAGGCAGCGATGGAGGCAATCCATTGCTCATTCAGCTGCTCGTCGACCACTTGTCAGGCTATCTTGGTGGTGACGAGGACCAAGGCCAGAGTGCTGAGGTTGTCCGGTTGGTTATCGCGGGCGATTCCGTGCGGTTGCCGACCGAGTTGCTGGGTGGGAAGCCGGTCGTTGGTCGCGACCAATCGAGGTTAACTTCTCCGATAAAGGAGCTAGATCTGGCACTAACAGAGCTGGCGGCATCCATGCCTGTTGACATCATGCCGGGGGCTAAGGACCCCGCCAACTTCTCACTGCCGCAACAACCACTTCACTCCTGTCTGTTCCCTGGTGCTCGGCAGTACTCCACATTTTTCAGTTCGCCAAATCCGCATCATTTTGAGGTCGACGGAGTCGTCTTTCTTGGGACGTCAGGACAAAATGTGCAGGACCTGTACAAGTTTTCAGTGGCAGAGGACCGACTCGCGCTTGCGGAGAAAACCCTGAGATGGCGACACTTGGCCCCCACGTGCCCCGATACCTTGGGTTGTTACCCGTTCACGACATCCGAACCATTTGTGATTGACAGCTGTCCACATGTGTATTTCATTGGGAATCAACCAGCATTTAGCTCGCGGCTTATCAAGGAGCCGGAGGGGCAGCAAGTTAGAATCGTGTGTCTTCCATGTTTCACAGAGTCAGGGACCGCGGTTCTTGTCGACTTGCGAACTCTCGAATGTCTTCCTCTCAGAGTATCCACTGACGGACTAGAACATGATTGATCATTTTTTTCTTTTCTTTTCTTTTCAAGTACATGGAGTAGAGGGATCCCCTCCGTTTCTCTTTACGCACATGCCGCCAAGCGCAAGCGTGATGTGAAGTTGTGAACTCTTTTAACTGTCTCCAACCCACATCTCTTCCGATCTTCTGTGTGCAATAACCCTGGTCAGGACAAAGTTAGCAAATCACCACCATTCCTATTTCGCCATGACGAAGGACTTGGAACGTGAAACTACGGAGTGGCCTAGCTCAGTTGGTGCACCCACAAACTGTTGAAATACAAACCCAAGTTCAAATCCAGATACAATAAAAAAGATAATAATTGAATTATAATTCTGAATTACCTGGGGCTGGTCAGGTCAATGATGATATGTCGAGGCCGTTGCCCGTTTTGAAAAAAAAGAACGTGAACGTTGTGAAGATAATTACCTGGGGCCGGTCAGTCAACGATGATAGGTCAAGGCCGTTGCCCGTTTTGAAAAATAAGAACATGAAGATGACTGAAATGCTTACAGTACTGGACACAGGCGTGCCATGTCAAGTGTCCCCTAAGCCAGCAGTAGATGGCCCCAGGCAACTGGAGACCTTGTGTTGAGCCTCTCCTAAAATTTAGGAGGCTGAGCGCCGTAGATAAAATGAATCGGTGGAGGGCAGCCTCTGAAAGGGGCTCGCAGCCAATAGCTGGCAAGTACTGGTGCTTTAAACCACCAGTACTTGGCCCAGCTATCGGCCGCGAACACAAAATAGAGTAGAAATGTTTCTAGTCGGATGATTTTGGGCACTCCTGTAGTGGCCCGTATGTTTCCTAAAATTGTGGCTTTGTATACGGGCACGACTTAAGGAAGCACTGGTGAAGACACGGGTCGCCTATGAAATGGCCTCCCCGGTCTGTGCCCTCCCCTTTTAGCCGGACGAGTGGGAATGGAGCGGCCGCAAGCCCATCCCAGTTTGGCAATGCACGGTAAGAGATGGGTACAAACAAGCACATTCTCTCAAAACTTCCACACCGGTCGTACATAATCGGTGGGAAAGGGACTCCGCGGTGAGTGACTCCGCCCTGCACCACATCCCCTGGGAAACATGCGCACACATAATGCCCACGTCTCACAGGGCCCTGCAGCGGCAAATACTTCACCGCTGCCTCCCAACTCCAGACTGGGTGATCTCCCGCTCCGCCCTGGAACAAGCAGGTGTGCTGTCCCCCATCTGCGCCCGCTGCCCGCTGCGGAGACAATGCACAATGCAGTCGGGCGAACCTGGAAGACTCTGTTTGCATGCCCGATGGCCAAACGGATGTGGCAGTGATGGGATGCCCTCTGGCACACACTAACAGGCAAAGTGTTCCACTGGGATGTCGGACTTATCCTGCTGGGATGGCAGAGAACCTTTCAATCATCTTGGACACCGTTTCAACTTAGCCTCTTCAAGCACATGAGTCTGGCTGCGCTCATGGTGAAATGGAGGATGAGGTGCTCTGCAGAAAGACAAGATACCCGCCTTTGGATTCCACCAGGCAAAAGCGGAGCTAGTGGAAGTGCTCAGGGCAAACATCCTGAAAGCCAGTCGTAAATTGACTGAGGATATGGCCAGCATGCCTGACAGGGAGGTGAGAGAACAGGCCATCAAGTTCTTTAGAGACCGATGATGGCTAGACCCTCATTGCCGGCTAGCAGAAGTCCACGAAAACGTAGAAGTACCGTGGAAAGAACTGGGTGGCAGAGGATGGCACGTGGACCTATAGGGCAATGGATTGTTTCCACACCCCGCCGCCGGGACAATCGGCCATGGCACTGACTGGCCCGGGCTGGGAGATTCTATGGATGTACAGGATGTCAGTCAAATTTAGTCCACCCACTTACACCACATACGATGAACTTCGTGCCTTTAGCGGGGTTCGTGCCAGTCGTTTTGAGGCGAGACCTGCCTAGCATGAACCACCCCTTTTTCCAACCTGTGAATGAAAGCCATACGGGTTATGTCTGACGATTTTCAATAGGTAATTCAACTGGCATGAACCACCCCTTTTTCCACCCCTCAATTTGACTCAAGGTGACAGGATTTGAACCTATGACCCTCTGTAGTAAAAAAACAGATGTGCTACCAGACTGCGCTACACCTTGTTATGTTCAATTGTTAATTCAACTAGCTGTGTGTGAAGTCTGCGGCTTCGGCAGCGTATGCACGGGCGTAACAGACTGTGAAGTCTGTCATAGTATTGATACCTCCGCAAGAATTGATAAAAAAAAAAAAAAAAAAAAAAAGAAACCATACAGCTGTCTCCTGATGCGGAGGAGACAGTTTTGAAAAAAAAGAAGAATAAACAGGGGTAACTTCAGTAGAGTCACAAAAACGAGTTATAACTTAATTGCACTACGGGGCAAGATACAGTTTGCAATTGCAGTTTGGGCACCCTACCTGGCCAGAAAACTGGGTTGTATACATTGCCCGAACTGCAATTCGAAACTGTATATTGGCACAGTGTGCAATTATAACTCATTTTTGTGACTCCTGCGTAGTCTCCCCCCCCCGAAAAAAGAAAGGGAGTTAGTGCTTCTTTGTTCTATGATAGCGTAAGTTGAAGGTAAGTGCTAAGAAGTTCTTTGAGCAGATTTAGACTTTCTGAGTAGGGGCACGGCACCTGCGGGACCTCACAGTGGAGAGTTTGCATAGGTTTTGCCTGCGCACTATGAGGATCATGACCCAGTTCAACGTACCGATATAGGAAGGCACTATAAAGGTCAGTGGATAACAGTTTCCACAGAAAAAAACATGCTCGTGGAGAGCTTCAACCGCTATTACCTCCAAGGCTCATTTTGCCAAGGCAGGAAAGAACTGCGCGCCAAGCTTTGCGGAAGTGCCAGAGTGATGTTTTTTTCTTCTTCTTGCTTTCTGGCTGACGCCGCCAGCTATTGTGGCCTAGAGCACTGTTCACCTGAAAAATGCGGTTTATGGTATACATCGGTGTTTCGAGTTCGCCGGCGGAAGGTAGTGGTGGTTCACACCATAATAACTAGTGGGTTGTCTACTTTGGTCTGAGGGTGTGCGGGGAGCTGTTCATTGTCATTGTGGTCTGGGACTTGTACTTGGTGATAGGCTCATAAATTGAATGCATCTCTGGCATTTCACAAATTACTGCTAAATTACTCTCTTGGCTTCACTATCGTACCTCCCTCCCTCCCTCCCTCCCTCCCTCCCTCTCTCTCTCTCTCTCTCTCTCTCTCTCTCTCTCTCTCTCTCTCTCTCTCTCTCTCTCTCTCTCT